AGCGGGGGGTGAAAGAACTGCTAGCTTAGGAGTCTCCAATTTTTTATGAATGTTCTTCGCAAGGCGGAGCCGAACGACCTTAGAAAAAAGCAGATTTTGTCTCGTTTTACTTTCAAATTGAATGCGTCGCCATTACGCCGTCGACCTTCACCTTCTTCATTGACCCTAACATTATTGGGCGGCGGTTCCCGCGCAAGGTCCGGTCCCTCTCGTGTTCCAGCAATATCTCGGAAATTTCGGATTTGAAGCAGGTTCGGCTTTTGTTGTCATAACTCCCGATTCTTTCATGCAGGTCTACTGCTCCTTGGAGGTTTGCTAGTACACTCCACCCAGTCCACAACCTTGGTGGTTATGCTGGGGATCACTATGAGGAACTATGGGAAACCGGAAGGAACATGATGTCCAAATCGTGTTAGGAGCTGATTCGGGCTTAGAGCATGTGAAACACAAACTCCATACTTCCAAATCCTAACGACTCTACGGAGGTGCCTAAATTAAATCATCATAACTAACACGCTGTGGCAAATAGCGAGTTGTTCAGATCCCATCTCAGAGGCCCTGGGTAGGGTAGTAAAATTGTGTGGGTCCTCCAAATAAAAAAAGCCAACCCCGGAATGGAGCAATCCATTGGTGCACCGTGGATTGAAAGGGCGTGGCCTCGCCTACTGCTGGTTGATCCGCTGTCTTGTTTGGCGTTTCACCCATTCGTGACAATGGCAGCCACCGGTGGCTGCCAAAGATCTCACTCGGGACAATGGCATCCACCGGTGGCTGCCGTGTTTCAAATGGAATTTGGAAAGTTTTCTTTCCTGAAAAGAATCTTCATACCCTCATTCATCTACGCCAGCCCTGGGCAGGGAAATCTCCATCCACTCAAATTTTATTGAAGAAAAATCTCCTGACTCTCCTGCTATTGCGCAATCCCGCGCGGTCGCGAATGGGTTAAAGATCCTAATCAGAAGTGATAAAGGAAGGGCAAAAATAGGTTCTAGAAAATTGATGTAATAGCCACGTAAGGCAGCGTGTAAATGGGCTGACTAAATGCTCAGGTAGGATAATGTGGGTGCTACTTCGCAAAACATGTTTCACGCCTTTACCATTTTTCTTGGATTTTTCATAGCAATAAATGTAAAGTGATTCACTAATTATGGGACAACCTAATAGTTACAACCTCGTTTCAAAGGCTCCGCGTGGAAATCTGTAGCAATGACGCCTGTTTCGCCCCGTTTTCAACTGTGAGAGATGTACCTTCCTGAGTACTAGCATAAAGGATAAGAGCTAAAGCATTCAGCACTGACCAATTCCTTTCAAGATACACCCCGCATTACACATCCATTCAATACCATTAAGGCATTTTGAAAGCGATTTGGCCTATACATGAGTTGAGTTATGAGTTGAACTGCGGTAGCCAGTCAATTTACAAGTCAGTGTATTTATTTTCCCAGATCAGTCTGGCACAGATTAGAAGAGCCCGGAGGGATGGAAGGCTCGCTTGCCCTGGACACCGCACTTTCCAGGAGTTGATCCCCGAACCGCGCAGCTTGCCACTGCACCACTTCCGCCCGGAATAAGCGTATAACATTTGCGATTCCGGAAATAAGATGCATTCTTTCACTTCCGTTATTTGCGTATTGCCAACAAGTGTGACTTGAAAGCATCTTCGCAGCCTGCACCCCTAAACTATCCAACATCATCACAAAATATACCTTCTCACGGCAGAGCCACCTAGCGAATCGAAAGTCGAGAGGATCATTTGTTGAATCTGCCTTTTTGAATGGTCCGTCTGGAAGGCATTGAGGGAGTAAATCAGGATCAAAACTACCAAGAAGATCAATAAAAGAATAAAAATGCTGACCTAGCTTTCCGAATTGAGCCAACATGAAGTATCCCGCTTCAGGACGAATCGGTTCAAAACCGGCATCATACATCATCTTATACATCTTATCACATTTGATTCCAAGCTCGGTAGGGAGACCAGTTAAGAGGTAGGAACGACTTGGATCAGATTTAAATAAAACAAGCCTTAAATTTATAATTAAAGATGTAATAATTTAATGTATATACATGAATAGACCAACTCTTTTTCAAAGGCGCACGCGAGAGCCTCTTGGGTTGGAGTACTGCATGTGAAAACACAGTTCTGGTGTATCCTCTGAACATTTATTCAATGTGTTTCTCTTGAATAAATGAATAGTGAGAGCATAGAAAAGGAAATGAACCTTCAGTGGAGTCAAGAGATGTTCTGGACCAACACACCAACCCAACTTCCATCCTGTTACAGAGAACGCTTTTCCTGCACTGCCAATTGAAATTGTTCGATCATACATTCCAGGAAGACTAGCTAAACAAAATAACGTGAACAGCTAAAATGTAAGACCGCTTTATTATAGACTGAAATGCATCAAATTTGGAAGCAAAGCTCTTTTTCTTGACCCAGGTGTTCGTTCATAAGTATTATATCTCCTAATGGTGGTTTTCCAACGTTTATCTCGTTCAGTCATTACATCTGATCTGTTAAATTTGCCGTCTTATGTTTTTGCCAATAGCTTGTTTCATTTTCGTTCCTTTCCTTCTTTCCGCACGGCTAAATTGAAATCCTTTCCGTTTCTAGCACCTCAAATACAGGGGGGGGGGGGCAAAAAAAGTCACTTTGCCCATGGCGCACATCATCAAATTTTTCGTCGCACAGGATGCCGTTGTTGATGAATGTTTTACGGCAGAATATTCCTTAGTGTCCCCCATAAGCAGAAGCAGGCCCTCCTTCACTGCCCCACCGTCTTCAGAATATGACGTCATCTGCCGTCACCGTCGAGCTCAACGAGGCTTACCGTAATCGCTCCGGCCTGAAGCTGCTACATAATTTTTCAAGATTAACTGGTGAATAGCTTCCCAGAGACACTAGCTGTGACTATGCAAGACCGCTTTTGACCAGCGTTTCAGGGACGTCGTAATGGTCTATGGTACCTCGACGACCTCGTTGAGCTCGTACCGTGAACCATGTTTCCGTGGGAAAATCTTCTGATGTCGTCGGTGTAGAAGGCTGTCATGTACTTTTTGATAGATTAGAATGTGCTCTTAATATTCAGTTGGGCTCATTTGGTTTTTCGC